GCAAGTGGCTCAGAATTGAGCGTGTCCCGTGAAAAGGCAAAGTCCACCAAACCCTCAACCCTCCTCTTTTCCTTAGCGTGAAGTGAGAGAGGTAGGTAGGTACCTTACCTCATTGCCATGGATCATGGAGCGCGGTTGGGTGGGTCACTCCGGCTTTCGCCTGGCAGCAGCAACAATCAGCTCTCGATGGCCCCACTTTCAACTGAAGTACCCTCGAGCTGCAGAGTACTTGTCTGGAGAGTTGTACCCCTTGGAAAAAGATACTTGGCCCCACTCGAGTCACTAGAAACACCCCTGCATGGCCAATGCAGCCCAATGAGGACTGGCGTGTCGAAATGGCGGGCTGATAGAAACCGTCAGCCAAGACCCTGCCTTGCCTGATCCCTGTCAGCATGTGGTGATCGACCGTGCAGGGACTCCAGGACAGGGGAGATCCCTCTTCTTTCCCTTTTCGAAGCTCTCCCAGAAAACGGCAGGATACCCACAAGATGGGGTCTCCATTTTCCAATGTCTTTCCTAGGACCCCTGTCGATTTGCCCGCTCGTGTGCCCCTCCCCCCTCCGCGTTCCCATCTGCAGGACTGCAATCCCCCTCCTCCTCCTTCCCTCCCACTGCCTACACTAATTACATCGTACCCCCCCGTTTTGGCCATGCGCGCCTGGCGATTGGAGTGAGCCCAATGCGCCCGTTCATGCTCCCACCTCCTCATACTCCAAGGTATCCTTCCATTTCTCCTCAAAGTCTGTGATCCGTGATCCGTGATTCCGTGCGTTAACACAGGGTAAGGGGGAATGGAAGGAAGCATAGAAAAGGAGAATGACAGAAGAGAGACAAGGGCAAGAAGGGGGGAAATAGAGAGGGAAACAGCGACGAATTGGCCTCCGACAGGCATACCATACATTGTCGTCAATGAGTATCATCCCGCTGGCATTTCTACCTTCGACTGTTGTCTTGTGTAAGGCAACTTCTTTCTGCCTTGTTTCAAGAGGGCCAAAAGAAAAAAAAAACACCCGGGCAACTCGAGTGTAGTTTTGCCCACTACTGCATTCACTTTCGCCCTCACAATGCCAAAAGACACTACAATCTCTGGAAGAAACTCATCACATCCAATGTACCTCGCCATACCCAAGTGTTTCTACGTGAGGTATGTACATACCGGAAGCTCGCTGCTTGAAGCTCCGCGTTGACTATCTATGCATGCGGACGTCACCTTAGTATCGTGTAGCTCATGGCGATCTTTTCGGCCCCTCTTCACTTCCCTCTACTCTACTCTTCCTTTCGGCATCCCGAAGTCACACGTGTCTCCCAGCTTTTCAAACTATGCCCAAAATGGGTCGTTTCCGAGCGTGCAGAGTGTTTGGATGACAACGGCTCGTTGTCACGCCGAGCCAACAACCTACAAGGACAGGGAATATCACTTTCAATCAACCTAGCCAGTCGCCGTCGACCCTTCAATTTTCATCTTCAAACCCTGAGGTATCCAAACATTGACATGCAAAAATCACACTAGAACCGTCACCCATACGTGAACCAACTATACATACCTAGACCAAAAAGCATGGGAAACCATAAATCCAAGTCACCTGGAATGGTCTGTCCCTTCATTGACTTGAGTCGTGACTCGGACCCTTTCCGTCCATGGTTGTGAAGCCATCCTGTCCCAAGCGACGAACGAGTGAGCTCTCATTTCAGCCCACCCTTCCTGTCAGCAACCTGCATATCATGTGATTGCCACGGTCTGACACCTTTTGTCAAACACGCTCCAGCCTCAACTTTGACAAGCTTCCATCAAGGGCTTTTCGAAGCTTCCAAAGAAGCCCGCCCTCCATTTCATGTTGTCTTGCCACAAACTAAACTCAACTACCGAACAAAATGTGGAATGAACCCTATCGTTGGACGACGGCCTGGCCGAGACTCGATATGGATAGTTCAGGCGAGACCGTCAACTCTGCTGTTCTCTGAGAAGTAGGAGAAACGAGACTTGAAGCCACATTCCGGTTCTAATACGCCCGGGCTGGACGAGGTGAGAATGAGCCAGAAGCAAAAGTGAGAACCAATGACACGGGCCCGGAGCATCCCATTGAACATGAATTGAAGGTGGACTGTGTGTGGGAGGAGGTTGGACGTTGCACGTTGCAGAATCCCCCCGAGCCCCGCCACTGCTTGTTTAGACGGCTTCGTTTCGCCAGTCTTGTTGCTTTTGTTATGATTGCCAAGTATCCGTAACGCCAAACCGAATACTCTCCATTTCCTCGATTACTTCGGGTGGATATCAAACCGCTTGGTTCGTTTCGTCTCCATGCAACCAACTGTGAGGCTGGTCATCCAGATAGCATGTAACTTAGCGTCTTGCCAATGTCCCGTGTAGGAATCTCTTAGACCGTGTCCTAGGCTTTAGATTACTGACGATTGAAGGTTTATCTATGGATAAGCCGTTCATAGCTTCCATTGAAGAAGTGAAAGCCGGGAACAGGCATGTTGGCCCGGGTCGGCATCGGAGCGGTCAAGGGAGGGGAGAAGTTGAGCAGGTGTGGGCGGATGGAAACCGAGGAAAGGTATCCGTGTGGATGACGGAAGGCGGGATTTGCAGAGGGCCCAGCAAGGTGCCAGGCCTTTTCTCTCCCTGGAGGAGGACGTACGGAGGACGTACGGATACGGATACATGCATTGGGCAGTGCGGATAGGTAAGGTAGGTAGCTTATCTTTGTTTTGTCCATCCCCTGAGCTTGAATTCTTTTTTGGTTTGAACTACCGCCGGAGGAGCCAGTGATGTGCTCCCAGGAACCGATCAAAGAGACGAGCGACGACCAGGTTATCAAAGACATGTTCGGGGTTGGCTGGGGCTCTTCGGGGCAATCGTACTGGAAATGGGATACAGCGCCGGGAATTGGCTGGACCCCCCACTCCCGTCGAGGCTCGGTCTCTGCGGTCCCCCTCGGTCTCTGGGTGGGTGCGAGCGGGAAAGTGTCAAAGCACCCTGTCACTGCCAGTGCTTTCCGCCCGTCATCGGGGGCACGGGGGGTCGGACTTGAGGTCCGTGGTTTTTCTTACCTAAGGCACTAATCACTGAGGTGCACGCACGTTCCTGCCTTACCTGGGGTTGAACGCTGAGAAGTGCCTTGGATTTCAGGTGTCAGGAAAGCACAGGAACGAGGATATGATACAGAGTACGTACCTTGTCTTTCACGGAACCGTACGGTCTTACCCCCTCATCCTCCCGACACACTGCCATTCCCGCCTGCCACCTACCGTATGGCACCACCAGCAACAGCGCCAACACCGGACGGGAGGGATCGCCTCACCTCTTGGAAAATTCCATCTTCGGCGCTAGAACAAATCTCCTGCATCGGTCCTGCACCGCTCCTGCAGCGTCTAAACAGGCCGCCGTCACGCTACAGCCTTCCTTGCTTTCTTCTAAGTTCCTATCGTACCTAGCGTAAGGTACTTTGGTCCAAGTATTTCTGCGCCACAGATCATCTACCGCGTAAGTACACTACGGAGTGCGCAATATCTTAGTACACTGCTGCGTACACCAGAAACACATACCTCCTCCGTACGGCATTATGATTGGCATCTTTCAACTGCATCTTAGGTTCGAGAAATGTTGGTTCCATACCATCTTGATACACCATCCATATGCCGTCTTTCATCTCGCTCCTCGCCGTCGATATGCATAGAGTTGAGTGCAAGGGCGAGGGTGAGCAGCAATTCTCCGCCTTTCCGCTTCACTTCACTCGAATCCCTCGATCCTAAGAAAGGAGCACCATGGCACCACACGGAGGACATATCCGTGCTTCACACAGCCCAACACACAACACCAGGATCGAGCAGACGGATAAGGCGCATCAAGGGACAGCATACAGTCCGTGCTTCTTCTTCTATTCCTCGCCCACTCCGTCAGCCTTGAACCGCCCTCTTCCAGCTCCAGCGAGCAAGCATCTTTCATTACCCCCGCCCCAATCCTCTCCGATCCAGCCCGGCTTAACTTCGCACTTGACCGACGATGAGCCAGGGCAAGGCGTCTTGGAGATGTTCTACACAGCAGCTTAGCGTCGAGAAAAAAAGGAGCCCTCTGCAGAGTGCTTTGCCTTACAAGGCCGCTACCCTCATTCAAGGGGGATGGAAATCCGTTACAGACGCCTGCGAGCGCACACGAAACCCTGCTGTCTGCTCGAGCCCCCCCGGTAAACTCAATGCCAATTCCAAAAGCCTCGACAAGGCCGTTTTATACCACATGCGGAAAGATGGTGCTTGGCACGGTAAGGTACGGGTAAGGAGACTTAACCGGCCGGTAGGTTAGGTTTTACGCCTAGGTAGAGTGGGCAGACCTGAGCCAGACTCAGACCGACCCGAACCAGAACCAGAACCAGGACAGAGGAACCCTCAACCCAAAGCTGAGTGGTGTGTGTGGAGCCTTGATCCTCGACCACTGGCAGTTGCTCGGCACTTTCCGGCCCAGGATTCGGCTCCCTGCTTTTCGGGGCAGTGAAATCCGGCGATTTTTACATCATCGCCAAAACGCCGGATGCTGAAAGGCTCCGGTGGTGGTGCTTCAACCCCCGTCCAAGACTCTCGAAACCCTAGTCCTGGACCTAGCAACACTCGAGAGCGGGCACAGTGACTGGCTAGCGGAAACCCCTCACGACCCAGCTCCCAGCTCACAGCTCTGTCTCCCACCAGCACCAGCTCCAGCTCAAACCCCAGCCCCGGCCGGCGGGGTAGCAAGAACGCTGCACTGGGACTCGATTGGATTGGATGAATTCCTCGCTGGTTTAACCTCGCATCACCTCCCACCTAACGACCCTCAACCCAGACATCGTCCACCAAAGTGAAGAGCACAGAACACCAAAAGGCATAGGCGTAAGGCGCAGACACGATAGCATCAACTCTGATGCCCTCGCTATCTATGCAATGCGGCTGCTCATGGCCCTGATCAACGCTCGGGCGCTCATCTCTCCCCAAGATCATAGCTGGAGAAGCGCTACGCCTCAAAGGGTCAAAATCTTGACCAAAAAAAGAGATGACTGTTGCTACAATATGTCGAAGCTCAGCTAAGGCAGGTGTTTCCGCGAGAATTCACTTCAAGTCGGGGGGTTGCAGGTTCTAAAGCAGGGGGGAATCCAAAGACCACCAGAGCTTCTGTCCAAAGTGGAAAAGCTCACCTGGAGATGTGCGGCCGCCTTCTCTTCTTCACCCTCCTCACACAATCTGCCCTGCGAATTCCCAGCCTACCGTTACGGATACCTTGCTTCAGTCCCCGTTCTGGCCTACACTACGAAGACGGAAAACAGATACAGAAACTCCATAATCCACCCTGCCGCATCGACCATCGCCAAAAGGGTTCATTGCAAGGCCCACGACAACCTTGGACAATTATTGACGGGTCAGCTCAACCTTTCCCCCGGTTTTCAGCGTCGCATTTTCATCCATATCCTGTTGCGGGACGGAGTGGGCGACGCACCAACCCTCCGGCAATATCCTCATATCCTCTTCCCCGTCACCTTCAGGGGCCCTGGAACGGGGTGAGGAGAAAAATAACCCAAGTCAACCAGCTGTCAAATGAAAGACCAAACGAGACGGCCAAATGAACCTTGTCCTGCTTGTACACAGCACCTGGCAAGCGGGCGAATGGTCCGCCCACTCGTCCCGAGCCCACGGGGCGTTCTTATGCCGTTGAATCTGATGCATCGGTGCATCCCCGGTTAGAACATGGCCAGCCTAGTACTGTCGGACCTGGCCCGGCCGGGTCTTCACTGCCCTGGACGGACGGAGTGTCGTTGCACGCGTCAATACTGCCTACTTGCGGATATGTAGGGTGCGAATACACACGCTTGCACTGCCTTCCATCCAAAGTTGCTTGGCGCCAAAGTGTTTACTCAGAATTTGGTTTCTTGCCATTTCTGAGAGCAGTATCACTTGGAGTTTGTCGTCGACAAATGTCAGACACCACCCACAAGACCAGCACAACTTGAGATAACCCTGCAGAGCGGGCGAAACCCGCAAGCCAAGCCTCGATTCAGGACGATGTCCCCTGGCTGGGACTGGGTACGTATCCCATCTGAGCCATCTCTCCCAGCCCATCCCCTGCCACTCAGTCACATTGACTCCGCGACTCCGCGACTGCTCTGATCGCTGATAGTTCACTGCCTTTTAATCTATCGTTAGCGCGGTCGTCTACATCACTTACGTATTCTCAGGAGTTTGCCTTGGAAGGCGCCAAACTCTAAAGCACTTCCTGTCGTCAGGTTTTCGATCGTCTGATGCATCTCGACACTTGCGGAGACAGCAACTTGCATACGCGATTGGAAGAGGGGGCAGATGTATTACACGTCGACCCATAATATCATGTCGGCTTGCGCGAAGCGAAGGCTACTGGAGCGTTCATGATATGCGCCTAGCCCGTTGACGAGGCCTAGTCGAGTTGAGATGTAAGACCTCTTAGACACCAGATCTCGACTTTACAAGTGACGCTATTCTGCATCTGTCAGCGCCCGCTGTGAGACAAGATCGGCCAAGACGGCGATGGCAACACGATCCTTCCAAGGCAGAACAAGTTGTGGAGGCAGACTGCAGCCCGTAGACATCGCCAATATCTCACTTGATCAATTTTGTCTTGCTCCTCGGAGTCCGGACCTCTGCATTGCGGACACTACTAGACCCAGAACCAAGACTCAAGACCTCCGACGAACTGGTACTTGGGTCTGGCTCCTCTCTCTATGGGCCCGCCACGTTCGCTACCTACCATCGCCCCTCCTCTGGTGTGCCTACGTGAATTACTCCGTACCTCCGCCGGTCGCCCGCGAACACCTCATGCGTCTGGCTCTGGCGGCTGACGCTGAGCGCACGCGCGTTCGTCGTATGCATTGCTGGCTAGACAAAGACGGTGGCAGTGGTTGTGGCTCATACACAGGAGCCTTTCGGAAGATAGGTAAGGCGTAAAGCAATTGTCGACAGGGCTCAGGCCGAAGCGAGTCTAGGAAGGGCGGTCAATTTGTCGCCTGTACCACCCTGAATGAATTGATTATCCAGGGCCCCGCATCGTGTCGACCATCTCCTTGGACAACCCATATTGTACAAGTTGCAACATATTCAAAGAGATGGAGCACTGGAGCACGCCCAGAGATACGGAGGGGCCCGGATGCGGCACACGAAAGAGAGAGCGCGAGGCTTAACTCGTCCAAGACTTCAAGTGGAGGTGACATCTTGCAGGAGAACCCACTCCACGTCACAGCATATCCATGCCATTCCTCCCCTCAACACCCGAGCCCAAAACACACTCATTTTCATCTTCGTGCACCCCCACCGGGACTGGGGAAAAGGAAGACATGTCGAGAGGGGCAAGGGAGGATGATGGGGCGTCAGTGGGATGGTCCATATCCAGATCGGCGTCTACGAGGCACGACACGGCTGGCGCAATATCGCTGCTTTCCAGGTCTTTGGTATTGTACACGGCCTGCTGCCGTCCTTGGATCATTAGATGGTCCCATGTTGCTCTCAAATTAGAATAAGAATGCTGCTAGTGTAGCAGACACCCGCCGACCAGGCCGATACCCTTTACCCCCGTCCGTCCCCATTGCACCTTTCAGATCAACAGCATGCGCGTTTGGTTGGCCGTTATGATGGTTTTGCCAAGTCGGGGGGATTCCTGTCGCTTCCCTCTCCCATCGGCTAATTTATCACATCGCTTAAGATAGCAGCATGCACTTAGAAGATCCCTTCCTCGACGAGACAGTTGAGCTGTGAGGCTCTGGGCTTCTGTCATTTTTGATACATGCCACGAACAGCGATCAAGGACCAGGGCCGGCTGTTCACTTCGGGAACACGGTGGAACCAAGTAATCATGTATTGATTGCAGCTGTGGATGATGGGCTGCAATGATTGACCGACCGTCAGGTCGACCGCTTGCTGTTGTTTTCTTTTTTTGTATTCTTCACAGAACATTGGGGGTCTCTGCTCATCATCTTTTCAAGGTGTTGCATGGGACTGGGACGAGTTGCTTGTCACCCTGGTAGACACGAATTGTCAACCATGCCGGATGAAGAGAGAGGGAGAGGGTCCAAGCAACGTTGACGATACTGCGACCTTCTCTTCCCAGGTTTTTCGATGCGCCCATTCAGGCTTGGCCGTGCTCGTTTCCGCTCGGATCGAGGAAAATTGAACACAGAGTTCACCGGTGTAGGAGTGTGGGTGGATACGCCCAACCCGATTCTGCCTTACTATGTACTTGCAAAATCTATGGATCTTTTTCTGCTCACATCAGGAGACGAGAGAGATTGGCCTCTTGCAACAGAGAGATTGAAGGCAGAAATATGAGGTGGGAAGCGTTCGAGCGATAGATTGAATTTCATTTACAACCACCACTACAGCTGGGCGTTGCAGGAGGAGACGGGCAGAGCGGGCACTCGCGCGGTTTGTGCGTCTATCCATGCGGCAAGGGCGCCTCCCCTTGTTCTGAGGGACCCCCCATGTTAGTCGTCCACGGTTCACTGTCCCTCTCTTTCTCTTAATGCCAATTCGAACTCGTTGGTACCACCATCTACCATGGTATATGTGGGCTCTTTCTTGTCTGATGGGCGCGGCGATCAGGACATAGACTTTTCTTTGCCTTGTCGTCCTGTCTCGATCTCCTTCTTGTCTCCGGCCGAGAAAGCTGACCTGGTTAGGTTTTTGGTGGTGCGTTACCGGTCGGTCCCCCAGCTAAGCCCTGTCAACAGTTCAATGAACATGGGTCCTTGTGATGTCAGCAGGGCGAAAGACAATATACCTAGCAGCAGCCAGCGCCCGGCCCGGCTCGGCTCAGTATGGTCAGAGGAGACGGAACGTATCCTATCGGACAGCATTAAGCCAACCTAATGACCAAAACGAGCGAGAGACAGAGAGAGAGAAACACCAGAGGCAGAGAAAGTGTAAAACGGTTAAGACGGCTTTCCGTGATTGGACCATGCTCGTCTGAAGAGAGCCAAAAGAAAAAAAGGCACTTTCTGTCGACAGGTCTTGGAAGGTCTTTTACAGCTCATTTGCATACTGCATAGCAAAAGTCTTGGACTTTGCAGATTGGAGACCTTCTCTCTCTCTCTCTCTCTCTCTCCACATCTCAAGGAGCCAAAAAGAGATAGACCTTAAACCCCCTTCGGTTGAATCAAGTCTCATCACTTGTGTGAAGGAGCTGCAGGACGGAGTTTCCGTAGTATGACCATGCCATGATGCGTAATGGGGTAATGGGGGTGGTCACTGGTGGTGGGTGGGTGGGTGGTTTGTCTGAGGTATCTATCCCATCTCTCATCTCTCTCTCTCTCTCTCTCTTCGTCCAGCCCAGCATGCAGAAAACGCTCCCGCAGGCGAGGAGCAGGGGTGGCCAATATAGAGTTTTCGACTGTTGCCGTTCTTTCCAAGATTTGGTCTTGGTATACTTGGTAGTACTATTATTCTGGTTCGGTTCCTCGGATTAGTCCAGACTCCCAAACACACAACCGAAGTTGACCCTCTCTTTCCTTCTCTCGGTTCGAAATCTCTCTCGTCGGAGTCTCTGTCCCTTTCTCATTGCGGCATCTCGTTGCGGCATTGTGATAGCCGGGGGTGCGCTATAGTCTATACCGCCCGTAGTGTTGCGTGATGGGCAAAACGCGACTCGAGGGAATTGATGATCGGCGGTTCCTATGTTGTCATCATCCGCCTTTCTAGACGACTGAGTTCCATCCCAAAACTACCCAAAATCTGCTAGCGACCCCATTTCTGTCGAATCTCTTGACCCCTTCCCCTTGTCCACACGTCTCCCGCGCGCGCTCGACTGAACTCATGAGATCATCGTGGGCACATCATGTTGCAACTAAGTCCTTGGAGTATAGGTCACGAGTCAATAGGAAACTTTCACTCTTTAAAGCGTGCGTACGAAAGAAGGATTTCTTCATGTAAAATCTGTTCATCAAATTTTGTGGTTTGTTTCTGGCGTGGTCTGGATGGGATTTCTCCTCTCCAGCCCGCATAACTATGGTTAAACATCAAAAAGTCCATAATCACATTCTTTTAATCCCATCCCAGAATGTGTGTGTATCATCCCCCGTTTCCCCAAGAAAGTCTAAAACCGCCCAATGGTTTGGTACCCAAAATGATGATAAACAAAAGGCGAAATAAGAAAACCTCCAAAATCCTGTAAAGCGCCTTCCATTCTCCAAGTCTCCCAGCAGTTTGAACAACAACAAAAAAGCAGTGGTAATTTGGGGTTGGTCGCAGAAGTCCTCCAACCTGTTTCTGATGCACCGGTATCGCGGGTAAAAAGAAGAAGGGAAAGAAAAAGGTCGTGAGTGAAAAGAATAGAAGCAGTCCCAGCCACCGTGCTCTCCTGGCCCGCATTCGAAATGCCATAACGAAGCCAACCCGTTTTTGTTTTTATCTACTACAACAGACCCAATCAGGCAAAGTGTGTGCGTGTGTGCGTGTTTGATGCGTTTCCCCCTTGAGAGGTCCCATCCCATTCCAGCTAGAATGAAACTCCATTCTCATGACAAAGGAGGAAGGAGGACGTGAAAGAAAATTGGAGACTAATAGCTCCAAGTTGTGAAGTATGGACAAGTAAATAGGTGAAGAAATTGGCGCCAAGTATCGTATTCGTCTCAGGAACCTTCAACTGCAACACAGCCACGAAGTTCGGGGTAACGGCGAACAAAGTTCTCATTGAGGCGCCAGTTTTCGAGGCGCATTGCGTGGGCAGTAAACGTGTCGCTGAGCCACATCTCTCCAGATTGCGGGTCGACCACCAAGGCGTCAATTGGCCGGCATGGCCAATTGATCAGTCTCAAGCTAGCCGAGTATACGCCTTGGAATTCTTCGTTGGCATACAGCTCCTGGCGTTCGATAATGGCAGTGCGCAGAGGTGCCCAAAGAATGAGATCCACCCACTGAGGATGCGGGATTCTGGTCTGGCACGGCTTCGGTGTGAGTTCAGGCACAATGGCTTGGTATGCCTCACGCGTTGGGTGTACCAGCCAGGCAATGGCTCGTTGAATGACGGCAAAGACCGCTAAGCGTTCAATGACATTGGTGACACCTGCCTTGTTAACAAGAGCGGTGATGAGTTCGGCCATGGGGTGCTTAGCGCCGGGACCCGTTACTGTTGTGGAAGCGGCTCGATCAAGGTCGGCTAGCTGGCATCGTGGAGGTTCTGTTGTAGGCGAGGTCGGATGATACTCGAGGAAATTCTTCACATTGACCCTAGCAGGTCGGAGGAGGTTGTCGAGAGACTTCAGTTGTGACAGTCGGCGGCAGTCTTGAATGAAGCCGACAATCAACTGGTCAATTCGACAGGTTGGCGGGACGATGAGGGTCGGAATCTCCCAAAGGGTGGTGCCGGGCTGGCGGATCAATGAGCTGACGGTTGTTGGTAGTACACCGGAGTTGGATACGAATTCCACGACTGCTGGTGATGAAGATACGACTGATGATGATGAGAGATGGGAACCTGCGACTGATGAGGCATTGAGTGGTGGCTGTGAGGGTATCCAGCGTCTAGAAGCTGAGTGGTTAGCGTCTCAGAATTGCGTTGCAACCCAACCACCGGACACAGGGAAGACAACCTACCAGAGTCGACATCATCATATTCACTCATCTTTCCTGGAATGCTTCGGGCGTCCATCATCGGCGCGGGAACGCTCGTGGGGATGTAGCCTGCGCCGTACTCGTCTGTGTTGGCGGACGATGACGGGCTTGAAACGGTCGAAGGAACGGAAACGGGAATGCCTGGGCCCCATGACTCTGACGCATCCGGCATGGGCACGTAGGAGGGACCGAGTTCTTGCATGACGTTGTAGTCACCGTTTGAGGGAAATGGCGAGGATCGAGGACTGGGAACTGCGCCGCTAATAGAGCTCAGGTTGTCGTCGTACACTGGAGCCGAGTCAGCACGAACCAGAGGCAACCACGCAGAAGACGAGGCAATAGAAGCAGCCGTACCTGAGTTTGGGTAGGACTGCCCGTTAGGAACGCCCATGCTCTCTCTGAGCTTGAACAATTCCTCTTCAAGTGCCTTGTTCTTGCGCAAAAGCTCCTGGACGGTCTGGCTCTGATCGCGGCCGCGCTCGCTCTTGAGCTCCTCAAGCTCTCGTTCGAGACGCTCAATGTGCTCCTTCGTTCTAGCTCTGATGGCGCGCTGAGCTTCTCTGTCATTGGCACGCTTACGCGCAAGCTGGGAGGGCGTCAAAGTTGAGACGCTTCTGGTGCCTGTTGAGGGGAGGCGTCCAAGTCAATATATTGTTCGTACATGAGAAAATGGAAGGGGACGATGGTGGTAGGTAGAGTAGGAGCTAAGGAGGGAGGTGGGGGAGAATCGAGGCGAAGACGGCAGAAGGATAGAACCGCATAACCGCCGCCGCCGTCGTCGACATCTCATGAGTGGTGCTGATGATGCGTACCCTTGCGCTTGGTGGGCTTCGTAGGCTCTGCGGAAGCTGATCGTGTCATGTTGTCGGCTGCGTACTTGTCGTCGTGGTGTGCAACAACGGTAATGGTGACAGGTCTGGATCGAGTGTTGGCAACAGCAGTATGGGCCATGCTCTGAGGCAGAAGACTGAATGTAGGAAGAGAGAGACGGGTCTGGCGACGAGTTGTAGTTGTGGTTGTTCGAGTTGTCAAGGCAGGGATCAAATCAAGAAGATCGAGAGGAGCGCATCTTGGAGTTATAAGATCTATTGACGACAAGAGCAGACACAAGAACAGGCCCTTCGAATGCCGGCGGCAAAGTAGTTTCAGGGCAGCTAGGAGAAGAGAGTACATCAGTACGAGGATACGTACCGAGTGAGCATGGGTCTAGGGAGCAGAGAAGGAGACAGGGCCAGTGACTTTGGTAAAGGTTGAGGATGAAGAGAGAGACAAGACAAGCAAGAGGAGGGAAAGGTACGTACTGTACCGTACCGCTACCTTCTAGGCCGAGGAAGGGCGCTAGAACTAGCAGTACATAAGGTAGGGAACTCTGGAGCAGGGGTTCGAGGGGGATGCAAGCATCCGGGCTAAAGCAGCCCAGTCTTGAGGGTAAGGACGTGGGACCGTACCGTAAGTGAGGTGGTAGGTAGGGGTGTGTACTCCGTAGGTGTAGGGTAAGAATGGAAAGGATGGCAGAGCAGAGAGATCACGCCGCGTAGAAAGTACCCAAGGAGCAGTAGGTACAACGGGCCCCGAGTGCTTCGAAGACAGGAAGGGTTGAGAGTATCGGTGAAGAGACGTAACTTGGCACATGACAGTCGATGTTGGGCACAGACATGGCGCAAATTACTAACTCACTTGAGAACAACTTACAGATCTCTCAAGGATGGGCTGGGGATGGAGGGAAGTGGCAGGGGTCTGATCAGAGGAGAGGGACAAGACAGCGGCAGGGAACATTGGAGAAGGCGAGGAAGAGGACGAAAGAAGCGGACGGGGCAAGGCAGCGAGCAGGACGGGACCGGGGGTGTGGGAGGCACACAGGTTCCTTCGACTGCAGCAATGTAGACATGTACCTTCTGACTGCCAGTTACCCATCGGCCTCGACGGGGCATGGGTGTGAAGAAGGAGGGGGTGTGAAGGCTGAAGGGGGGTAGATAGTAGCCAAGGGGGGGCGTGATGTGAAACCAGGGGGGGCGTGGGGGACGACCCTGTGTGAGGTGAATCTAGGAGAACAACAGAAGTGAGAATTGTGAGATGCCTCTTTACCTTAGGTAATGTGATGGATGGGGCACCACATTCGAATGCCCGGGTTACGGATGCTTTTTTTTTTTTTTTTTATGGCTGTGTGTGCTTCATAGTCGGAAACTACGTGTTTTGACGCGGAGGCAACAAGCTTCTTCAAGTTACTTTGAAGGTGTAACTACTCGCCGCGGAAATCGAGCGAGGAATTGCTGCGAGCCAGATTCCGCCGCTGTGCCGGTATCCAAGCTGGGCAGCATTCTTCCCCCAAACCAAAGAACGTTCGTTCGGTTAGATTTTGGGTTTGTCTTTCCTCTGGTCCTCGTTGCGTCCGTCTAGAGATTGGAGAGAGAGAGAGCGAGAGAGAGATGGGACAGGGTGACGGGAAGGAAGTGCTCTCTCTCACGGATACTATATCTGCAGGGGGAGATCCTCAAGCAGTAGCAGTCGATGTGGGTGGGCAACCTCCTGCCCCGTGATTGTGGCCTTGTGCTCGAGTCCGACTCTCGATCTCAGCGAACGGGTTCCCGGTGGGGTTGCTTATCCGTACCGCAGGTAGGGAAAGGCAAACGGGGCCAAAGGTAAGTAAGGCAAGCATAGAGTTGGGAAAAGGTTGGCTGCTGGGCTGGGTGAGGTGACGAAGGGCAGGCCGGCAAAAATGGGCAAAGCAAAGCAAGGCAAAGCCAAGGTTACGGGAAAGGAAAAGGTACCCAGGTGCCTTGTCGGATCCGTTGAAGATGACAACCAAATCAAACTCCGACTCCTCCTCCCGCACTTGACCTAGTATGGTCTTGCGGCTTGCCCTGCCATGGCCCATAAACGCTGCTATACCCTCCCATGGACCATGGCCCTGTCCTGTCCGCCTTATCCATAAATGCGTATGAGGAGGTGGGCACGTTGAAGAAAGACGAGATAATCCCGTCTGGGCTTACATATTGCGTTGACCTGACGGCTCGGAACGGGGGGGCCTTGCAAGGCGGGTGACGAGGCCTGTTAAATACCAGCATCTACGAAGACGAACGAGGAACTTTGAAGAGCAACAGTCCCGTCCGGCTGATGCTCGGAATAGCCACACCCATGGCATGTGCATGGCAGCATGGCCTATGTGTGGCCAGCCCATGGAACGCCCAGACCAAGAAAGGTGAGGTAATCTCCAATACCCATCTCGTCAAATCCGTATTGTGTATGTATTCGTAGAACTGAGGGGCGGAAAAAGACATGTCCAGATCCTTGGAGGCTGGAGTTTGGGGTGGTGCGTGTCTGGTTTGATCTGGGTTGACCTCAATCCCAACCCGACCACCACCATCCGCGCGCAATGTCGTCCCATTCGACGAAAGGCTTAGGTTGAAGAAGAAGACGAAGAATCAGCCGGGCATGCCAGTGCCAGTGCCAGGCCAGGCTGAGCCAGTAGGGCCACACGGCATAAGCCTCAATTATGCTCGAGGCTCAGCACTGCTGCACCGCTGCATTTGCTAACGCATGCCCAGCAGTCCAGGGAAACCTTCGGCCAGCCTCCGATGACCGGGGGGAGGTTACCATACAATGACGAAATGATGTTTTCTATCCTCTCTTGCCGCGCCGCCAGGCCTTGTCATCTTGGAGTACTCCGTAAGGGTTATCACCTACATACGGATACTAGAAAGCAGTCAAGGGCCAAGGCGTATCCGATCCGTTCGGGGAAAAGAGAGGCAGACAGAGCAAGAGTATCCGTACTTCTGTATCTTTCGGACCCGGAAAGCACCAATGGGCAGCAGAGCGCAGACGTGCGGCCGTGGGCGGGAAGTGCGCGCTCAAGGATGGTTTAGCAAAACACAATCGCATACACTGCCCATGTGTGATGTGAGGGTGTGAGTGGTCGATGAAGTAGGTACGAAGAACCGTGTGCATCCGAAGAGGGAATGGAGGAGGATGGACTTGCTCTCTGGGTGTCGAATTGATTGTGGGCACACACGTACACACACCGGCCGAACATTCGTATACTGACTAGTACTACACTCACACTCGCTCATACAGACACACACACACACAAACACGCGCGCGCGCAATAGATGAGGAGAGGCATGTCGAGTTCCATTATGAGTTAACCGGGAAGTGAGTGAGGAACGAGAGGTGAAGTGTGAGGTGAATGTGTGAGGGCCAGGGGCCCGCCGCCGGTGAGGTCAGTCGGGGCCCAGAGGTAAACTGTGGGAAAAGATGGAGAGATAGCTTACAACAGGTGAAGGGGGGGGTACGTATCCACCTTACGAGAAATAAACTTTACGCTAAAGCCAGATCTGTCGTAGCTTGGTGGGCGCCGATACGCGGCCCAGCAGCGACCACGACAGCCAGTAGGAAGGTCAGCATCGAGGGAGAGAGAGCGTAAAAAAGTGGTCTGCTACTTGATACCTAGGTCCTAAGGCACACTATTATCGACCGGGGAGAGCAACAGCACTGAACAGCACCTCACCCTCGAACTTGAAGCCCCTCTCTCTTCTTCTTCTTCCTCTTGCTCTGTTTCTGTCACTCTGCGACAGACTGCGACCAGCAGGCTGCTGCTGCTATCATCTCGTACTCATGGGATTGGAGACTCGTCGTCGGTACGTACCCGACTACCGTAAACCATCTCTGCCATTGCTGGGCCTAGCACCATGCAAGTGCACGGAAACCTGCTCCCACTTCGCTACTCCGGCGGCGGCCAGCCCGACCGGTACCTTGTCCCCTCCACTACATCCAACCGTAACACGCTTGTCCCTTTTCAGAGGGGGTCTCTCTGCGGCCTGCCATGGGGCCATAGGCCGTAGCTTGTCGTCGGCCGACTTTGGGGGGGGGGGAGCTGCGTGGTGTGCGGGCAGTGAGATTGGTGTATCCGTACGCATAGGCAGACCGCACTTACCTTACGAAAAGAACCGAGAAACTCTAGCTAGCCATCTCTATATTTTCGCATTCGAAGCGACGAGCAGCAATAACCACTTCGGGCAGTTCGCAAGATTCGGCACCATGTGGACAAGAGGCTCCAGAGTAAAAAACACAAATGCCCGCCGTCGGCCCTTCTCACTCAAAGGGCGCGATACAGAGTGGTGTCATAGAACGTCGAGGGGTCACCTACCTAGTAACCGTAGCAGAAACCGTTTGCCAAATGGAGCATTCCGGTGCGGAAACCCTACCCAATTTCGCCTAGTCCACATCCACTGGCACAACATCCTCCGTCCAGACGTACGGAGCACACAGTAGAGAGAGGAGGTTGGAGCCACTGGCGTATCGATCGCTAGTGCGTTGCGTCGTCCCTTTGGAAAGGGAAAAAAAAAGAGCCTTGGATCTAGGTATCTCCTGAGGCCTTCTAGCACCCCCATTGCAAAGCCATGAGAATCCATACCTAAGACGAGAATTGCGACCTGACGGCGGCGGCGGCGGTTTCGAATGGCGTGTTCGGGCCTAACGAACAAGAGAGACCTTCTAGCCTGCCGACCAGAAACATTGAATACCAGCCGCCCTGTGCCATCAGTGCCGGAGCCATTGCCAGGAACTTATCGGCTCACCCGCTTCACGTTCGTCGTCCGTCTTGTCTGGCGACATTTCTAGCTTTCGGTGAGCCACGCCGCGATGACAATTCATTCAACGGCCAAGACGGTCTTTGCAGCTAGCACGTCCGACGATCGGATCCAAACTGGACCTGGCCTAGATTTCACGACGGCTCGCCAGCCTCGTCGCCCAAAGGTGCCCAGGGCCTCGATTTGAGCCCCGATCGGTTCCGTTGGACACATGCCTACTATCGTTATGCCCACTATCGAACGGCTTCCTCGGATTCCGTCGTGGGTAGGCCACGCGAAATTGAGATATTCTTGTCTTTTCACCGCTTTTGAATCGGCTGGCTTGGGAAAATAGGATTGGGCATGAGAGAGAGCGGCGGCGGCGGCGGCGGCGGGCGCGCGCACACACACACGCAGTACGGAGTACACCTCCATGTTGCGACTGAATGGCGGCGTCCATCATGGTCGTTCCAATCATCGGACCTGGTTCCGGTCGCCCAATCCCAAAGGATGCCGCTACTGAACTGCCGTTGTCAATCTTTTTCCCCGATTGCTCTATTCCGCCTTTCGGAATGCAGGCTCATGAAGGTTGGCGCATATGGCACCCCTGGTCACAATTTGTCTGCAACTCGCAGTCTCTTGCCATTGAACGTTAGTAGATGTGAGCCCAGCAACAGCAGCACGGCCGGCCGACCGTAGAAGGCCAAAGATTTGGGGGTGTTGTCTTCTCCCTGGTTGCCGAGTCTTATGTCGGCATCCTGTCTCACTTTTTCAGCTTCACGGCACGCCCTTCTGACCGAGCCAACTTTGATTCAGCGCGGTCAGCGTCTTATTCGCAGAAACATTCGCTCTCGCGGTGCGGCGTGTTGACCTCCGCCAGATAGGTACGGTATGCACAATCGACCGAATGCCTGTCCTTGGCTGCCTGCCCAGCGAACCCGAGATCGCCACTGTCAACGCGTCCTGAGCCGAATTTCGCACGTGTCTGCAACTCTGCGTATGTTTGTTTGTGTGTGTGTCTATGTTGCCTCTCGTCCATTGTTTCTTCTTTGCTTTTTTCCCAGCAATTTTCTTATTCTGTGGTGTGCCTCATCCTGCTTCGGGGTGTAGGAGAACTCTCGGGTTGCGGTGTGAGAACTTGAGAAGCGCACAGGTACTGAAGGGCAATGCGCCAGCATTCTCTCTGACATGCGTGACGGGCTTCTCGAAGGTCCATGGAACTTTTCTGTCTGGGTTCTGCATTGCATCGGGCGTTCGCATTTTTCTTTTAGCCTCTCGTCGTCCCAGGGTCATGTCCGAGGACACCACCATCGCGGTGAGTCTGGCGCATCGTCGAAGAGGCGAGAAGGAAAAATGAAGCATGAGCTGTCGCCGAGCTGGATTGCGATTCACAGGGTTTCCAAGCTGGCGGGATTGTGGCGTTTCGGGGGGGCTCCCTCCCCTTTTCGAGAATGGGAAGTCTGCTGATGTGTCTGAGGTTGATCTGTTGGTTCTCATCTCCCCGCGCCCAAAAAGTCTCACTCTACCTGCCTACTGGTTCAGTGATTAGTACTTTGTAGATGTTTCCAGCCGTCAATTAGTTCTTGTGTTCCCCCAATCGCGGGGCAAATGACCCGTCTGGCTCTGGCGGCCCTCCCTCGTTGTTCCTTCTTCTCCCTGAGGTGGCCCTGCCGCATTTGCTTCTCATTCTTCCCCAGCCTGATCGTCCGGGATCGTAAATTCCAGCGGTTTGGTGGTACAAGGCGTCTCGTGCCGGCCTCCCGAAGCTGCACGCATATTGTTCATGAGATGTGGTCGCTTGTGAGTTATGTCATAGGCGTTTGGTCGTTGGTTGACGAGGGGTTTCGGACACGGCGAAAGGCGTCGAGAACGTCAACAAAGCAAAGAGGGCATCCGGAATCAGCGATTTTATGAGTTATTTCGGGGTGGGCTTAGCAATGCCGGTCCGGGGGTGATAAACCCCTGATGAATGCCGTCTCGTCGGCGCAATATCCAGTTCGGATCTCTGTTATGTCAATTCTGACTCAGAAAGCCGGCCGTTGTACGTTTCGTTTCCTCTGTGAATTCCTTCGGGAGGATACCTGCTAGACCAATGAGGCCGGAATCCCCAGAAGAAAAAAACAGGGCCTGCAGCAGACCCTGCTTGCAAGACCCGGCGCTGTGCCTGGCATGCGCCGGGCACCCTCCCCTCCTGCTCGAAAGCCTCGAGGCTCCAGCTGGTTTAGGGTGTCGGGGTGTTTGGGCAGGGCGGGCCAGCTGAGAGTAATGGGGGGGGAGGAGTGAGAGTGAGGAGGGGGGGAGGGGAGAGCGGTCTGGCGGTGGGAAACGGCGGAAATCTCTCCGGATTCTGAGAACGAGGTACCGGAGCTGCTGAGATACCTCGACCAAGTCCTCTACTCCAGCGCCTCCTAGACCCAAATCCAGGTGATACATGCGCTAGTAGCCCAATGACGACCGCTTTTTTCTTCCGGGTCAGCCAATCACTGGCCCAACCGGTGCTTTGCGGATCTCGCTCCGTAGTGTACCGCAGTACAAGTGCCAGGGCCAGTGACTTGGCATTTCCGGGCTTATGGTCTGAGTGTGGTATCGGCTGCGGGAGAGACAGTGAGACTCCAGAGACCCTGGCCAAGTGCGAATCCTTCAGACTGGGACTGTCGGCGGTCATTCCGTCACGTACGGAATTTCCGTACAGAATTTCCGTACAACTCCCAGCAATGGACATGATGTACATCATCGCGCATCTGGAACCTTGTATGTCTCTGACGAAAGAAAATTGATATTGAGCCATGTTTGGCGATGCCCCTGTACAATGCAGCAGGAGTGCAGGTATGCTCAAGCAGAGCTTTCTATTCGTAGCTGTATCTGTTGTGAAGAAACAGCTGGTCGTAAATGCCTCAACCCGGGGTATCGAATCGTCCCAAATCCAACAGAGAACTGGATCAGTGGAGTCAATTAATCGGTCCGTCCGGAACCGTGGTAAATGTTGTTATGTTTGTTCTCGCCGTACATATTCTCAGGCGACACTTTCAGGGTCTGCTTCTGCTGCTGGGTCTGCGTCTGGTACTGCCCCCACCAACTCCTCCAGTCCTCCGACCTCCGTTGGCCCGTTAATGCCGTCCGGAGGAAGGGCCCACGCGGGCATCGGGCTTGTGTAGCTCCAAACCCCTCCGGCATCTTCGTAACGGAGGCTGTGAAGCCAGAGCGAAAGCTCGTGCTCGCCGGGATCTGTGTAGAGCGGCGTATCGCAAACGTCGCAAAGCTCTCCTGATAGTTTTTCAGCCCTCCTCTTCTGGTACAAGTCGACCAGTTCGTCGTGATAGGCCACAGCGTCGGCGATGTCTTGTTTGCCCATCCTTTCTAGGCGTGACATGATGTCTTCGTCCGTGTTCTCAACTGCATCCGAGTCGTTACATCCCAAGTTAATGCCCCAAACTCGCTGGTTCGCATACAAGGGGTCGTTTTCGATAGGATGCCCGACGAATTGCAGATGCACGCGGATCTGATGCGTCCTGCCTGTCAGAGGCAGGCAGCGAACGATTGAGTAGCCCTCTTTCTTGATCCAAGGCCGGCGTTCCTCGTCCGCAAGTCGTTCCGCAGTCTTGGGCTCTGCTGCCTCCGAGTCATCCAGAGTGTCCGGCGGGTAGTAGGCCAGACGTTTGAAGACGGTACGGGCCGACTTTCCGTTGGCTCGCACGCGGTTGAGGCCTAGTCGCGGGGATATTTGGAGGATAGGTTGATCGCAAACAATCTCGCCATCAGGAAACTTTCCAGCAACGCGCGCCAAATATTCTTTGCGGACCGTGTGAGCTCTAATTTGAGCAGTGAGCTTCACTGCTGCCTGTGGTGTCTTGGCGACGAAAAGAATTCCACTGGTGAGGCGGTCCAGGCGATGGCACGGGTAGGGCAGGAAATGCTCGCCTCGCTCAGACTTCATGATCTCGATAAGTGTGTTGTACTTGTATCTGCCAGCAGGGTGTACCGGTACACCGGATGGCTTATTGACAACGATCATTTCATCATCTTCGTGGATGACACGAATTGGCTCGCCTGTGACAGGGGGCTCATGGCGATGAATGGTGTGATTCACGAGGTCTCCATTCTTGACCAGATGATCAGGGCCGACTGCCTTTCCGTTGACAACGATGGCTCCGGTTTCCATGGCATACCGGTAGTACTCTAGGGTGCGGTCCCTGAATTCATCCTCAAAAATGTCGATTAGCTTCCGGCCGCGCCAGCGTTGCTTGGCCCAGGTGTGGTAGGTAAAGTGATAAGGAGCAACTCTGCGGAGACCGTCTTCGAAGAAGTAAGGCCGTGGCCACATGTCGCCGGTAGGCGTCGTCAAGACTTCAGGCAGCTCATTGGAAGCTTCAGCCGGTTGGGCATCCGGTAGCTTGGCTGGTTCAGCAGCGGGAGCTGCAGCCGACGGCGGGGTTGCAGCCGACGTTGGTGTCGTTTGATCAGAAGCCATGGCAGGCATGAGAGATTCCCGTCGGAATGGCAGCCTTGCCAAGGACCAAACTGAACGCAGGAGGGTAGCCAGGGTTGATCAGGTAGTCAAGTTGTGAGGTGTGGTGTGTGATGGTGTAATCAGTAAGGGGCGTATTGTGGAACTGTGCGAAACTTCGACTAGTCGTAAGTAAGTAGTGCTTGAGAAAGCCGCTTGCTACTTGCCTCGAGGAGCCTGGATATCAACTACCAACAAACTTTGCATGTATTGTGAAAGGTATCTCGAAAAGAGTCACAAATTCTTGGCGGTCAGGCGTGGCAGAACTTTGCTGAAGTTGGATTTTTGGTGGACAGGATCGAAAAAGGTGGATTAGCAGAAGCGTGATTGGTCGATGGAAAGACCTTGTGTGTTTACATAATCTTGGCCAGAGCCTACCATCTTCCGGCTGAGGTAATCAGCACCCCTGGGCTTATAGGCAGGCACGGCAGGTATTCCGGCTCTGAACCAAATAGGTCTGCCGACATTAGTGATTGGCTCCTGTTAATCTGGCGGCAACATGACACTCTGCCTCGGCTCAGCTAGGAAATCTACTGAGCTGCAAATCAACTGCGGCAATCAAAAGTCTCAACAATTTCTCCGCAACTCTCAGCAGGAAGCTACGAAGGCTCCTTCATCGAAAGGTTTAAAGTAACGAGCTGAACCACAACTCAATCGAGAAAAGTGCCGATAAGGCAACGCGCGTTTAGCAGTGACGTCTGACTGAGCGTCATCCATCACTTGTCCCTTTTTTAGTGTTTCTGAACCAATACAACCCGAGCAAGGGCCAGTACCTTCGGCATCACCGCCTACAACGTGCTCCAATTATCCGATCTCTCTCTCTATCATCTCACAAAAGTACCGCCATGGCCAGCAACAAGCAGTTAAAGCAGCGTCGAAGGGAGAACTACGGGTACATCCTAGACTACCGGACACGATGGTGAGTTCACCTCCAGCCCGCCATGGTTATCACAAGCTGCCATTGCGGCTTCCACCTCTACCTACTCCTCGGTGCCTCTCATCCTCCCTGCTACTCCTCGAAACGGAGGGGCAGAGCCCATTCCTCGCAAAGCTTCAAGGGGGGGCTTGTCCGTGCTGCAAGCGGACGCCCTCCTTCCTGTCTTCTCCTTCGTCAACCTCTCACGCCCACGGTCCAGAGACGAGGGCGCTCTTAGTAGCGTATCAGTAGCCGTCATGTTCTCATCATTATCATCACCTCACATTTCGCTTTCATTCGTCTGCGCTTTTGCTGCTTGGGCAGAGATTGACAAGGTTTCTTAGGGCCGATAATGATATGTACCAGCACATGAACAATAGCGTCTACAACTTCCTGTATGCTTCTCTAGATCAAGCTAATGTCCACGCGGCGTCCAACTAAGAAACTGCAGATACGACTCCGTAGTCAACGCCTACCTGATCGAGCATTGCGGCCTATCTCCCTTGCGTTCTGATCAGTATGGTCTTGTGGTACACTCACACAGCGACTACTTTGCTTCGATTGCGTACCCCGCAGTCGCTCAATTAGCGCTACGAGTGAACAAGTTGGGGAAGTCAAGTGTAACATACGAAATTGCCTTGTTTGAAAAGGGAGTGGACGAGGTGAGAGCAGTCGGGGAGTTTACCCACGTCTTTGTCGAGAGATCTACCGGTCGTCCAACCGCATCCGGAATGGAGGACGAAATGCGGAGGGGTCTACGGCGACTTCTGGTGGTGGATGGCAGGGAAAACAAGCTCTAAATTGAACTCTATCACCCACCCACTTGTGCCATGGAGCTTATCTCCTAACCAATTTCTCTACCAGTTTACAGCTGCAAGTTCAGCTTTTGGATTGCGCCATCCTGTTCACCACTCGTGAAGATCTTCTCAAGGAACTCCAAGTCCGCCAGCGCCTCCTCAGCTGATTGCAGGGGGTTTGGTGTTCCGGCGGCCAAACCTTCGGCCCAGGCCTTGACCTCCTCCTTTACACCACTCGTCTGTTCAAAATGAGTTGTTGTTGCCTCGCCGTCGAAGGGCTTGACAGTGAGATCGTGACTCGACAAGGTCACACTGCCGTTCTCGCCCGCCACGTGGAAATCGAAGGCACCCAGGGTTGAGCCAACACTGACGGCGAAGGAACCAGTGGCGCCCTGCTTGGTCTTGACGACGGCATTGATGGTATCAATGGGCGGCAGGTGCTCCCGGGTCAAGTCCGAGAAGGCGGCAACCGAGGCCGGCGCCGCGTCCTTGCCGAGCAGAAGGCGAAGGGCGGCGGCGAAGTGGACGCCGCCGTCGAGGAGGAATCCACCCTGGTAGTCGGGCTTCTTGCGCCACGCAGTCTCAATGTACTTGCCGCCCAGTTTCACGAAGAAGAAGACCCTCACGTTGAAGCCGATGACTTTGCCTAGCTTCCGCACCTCGTCTCTTGCCGTAGTGTAGCGGGGCTGGAAACGGTAGTTCTCGGCCACGGCGAAGGTCACGCCCTTTTCGGCGGACACCTTTTTGTAGTACTCGATCAGCTCCTGCGCACGAGCAATGTCGGCGGCGATAGGCTTCTCGGCTAAGACGTGCTTTCCTGCAGCAAGGGCCTGCTTAATGTAGTCGGGCTGGTTCAGAATGGGCAGGGCCAAGATGAGAGCTTGGATGTCATCACGGGCCAAGAGATCCTTGAAGGACTTGCCCTCGCCCGCGTCGTCAGAGTACAAGTCAGGTGAGGCTGGATTGGTGACGAGTTTAGCCGTGTCCTGGGCGGACTTGAGAGAGCGGGAGAAGATGGCCTTCAAGGTGAGGTTATCGCTTGCTTCCACAGCAGGCTGTTCGGACAGTCAGTGACCACGAGACACGTGGCTTCCGCGGACGGGCAATATCAGCTAGGTAGTTGTCTTACCAAGTGCTCTTCCTTGGCAAAGATGCCTCCTCCAACAATAGCTACTCCGATGGGGGCCATGATTTCTCAGATATATCGTTCAAGATTAGATGCGAGCCGTGCAGAAGGCCTGAGTCAAGCAGCTGTAAGACAGGGTGTACATAAATAGAAAAGTACAGGGCAATCTTGTGGTCTGAGGTGAAGGGAAGAGGTTGAGAGAGTGATGAGGGATCCAAATGGTTTATTTGTTCCAATTCAGTTGATTGTCTTCCAAACAATTCCTTATTTGTCCATGAAGGCGCGTTATGCAGTAGCCAGGCACGCAAGGAATGCCATCATCGGCTCTCTCCTCCAATACCTGGGGAGCTTCGTGATGGTAGTGGGGGTTTGTTGGCGGGGTCGGAGAGACCTGTGGCACAACCATCTCGCAGCAAGTTGATGGAGCCGATGAGACACTATCTCAGGAATGTAAGATACACGCGTATCATTGGTAGTATACCAACATTGACACCCCGCTCTGGAGTGAGAGCCTTACTCTTTTTGGAAAGTATAGCAGTTGAGTAGTTGGGAATCTGAGTTCCTGCCAAATGCACTTCACCGGAAGGTCCAGACGGAAATGATTTTTTTTCTCTTTTGAGGTCGGATAAATCCAATGGGAGGCAGGTGCCCAGTACAAATGAGGCTGCAGCTCCTGTGTTTCCAAGTGTCATGTGCTATATGTGTGATTTTTGCAAGGTAGGAGTCTACTGGCCAAGGTAATACTCAAAGTACAGCTCGTGATAATGAGCACATAAATCAACTCGTTCAAATGCCACTTAGCTACGCATATTTGCTCATATAATTTAATCTTCTGATCTGCTTTCTTACTGCCGCATTCCGGATCTGCATCCCCGATTTTCGGCTCCGTTTAATTGCCGTTCTTTTCATACCGTGCCGGAGGCGGTACTTTCTGATTCAACCTCGTCGTCGCTGCTACTGTCATCCAGTCGGTCGATGGCTCGTTGGCACTCCTTTTCCCACTTACTAAACCCAACAATAACCCATTCCAACGCTCCGACCAGATACAATGCAACACATTGTCCTACCCACAGGCCGGCGAGACCCCAGCCATGAAAGGCGAGGTAGATGCCGGCGGGGAGAGCTCCGCCGTAGTAGCTGACGAGGTTCACCACAGCCCCGACCCACTGACGGCCCATGCCTCGAAGGGCACCACCACACGATCCGTTCAGACCGTCTGCTATCTGGAAAAGTGCGACGTACGGCATCACCTCGCCTACAAGCTGCACCACGCGTTCATCGTCGTTGAAGATCTTACCGAACACATCCTTCGTCGCCATGAGCACAGTAAGCACCACGCTTCCGAGTATCACAGACAGGATTGCTGCCGAGTGTGCTGCTATCGCCGCATCCCGAGGCCGCTGCGCTCCCAGTAGATTTCCTAGTCTTGCCGATGCTGCTACCCCAAGACCGAAGGGAATCGTGTTGATGATTTGGTCCGCCGTCATGATGACAGACTGAGCCGCCAACGGGATAGTGCCAAGTCTTCCGGCAGCCAGAGCCACAATCTCGAAAGCCCACCACTCAGTGCCAACATGGACGACTCCAAGAAGTGCGAGCTTAGAAAAGGGCCCAATATTTCTGATAGCTTTCCGAAGTTCCAGGCCACCCCAGCATTCCTTGCCGCGGACGAAGACTGCATAGGCAACAAGAAGGAGAAACGATACCCAGTACGAGATACCTGTGGCCAAGGGAGCACCATACAGGCCGAGGCCGAAAGTGTGGATGAACAGATAGTTGAGCACGGCGTTCATCGGAGATGTAATCAACAGCACATATGTGCCTGGGCGGTAAATCGCTGTCACATCCACGTCAGTGCCGTCATCTATTTCTCTCCCCCTTTGACTTTCTCGAGGTGGCACTGAGGAGCCTTGACTTACCTTGGGCCTGCAAATACTTCTTCATGGCCTCGAACCACACGTACCCCAACCCGCCCGGGATCAGGCATCGCAGAAACGCCGAGCTTTGCACGCAGATGAACTCTTCTTGGCCCAGCGCCCGGAACACCGGTTCGGAAAACCACCACAGCACTGCCACCACAGCATAAAATGCCGACAAGACAAGGATACCTCTCTGCAAAAGAATGCCCAAGTCGTGCTTGTTCGAAGATCCCGTGAAGCTACTCGACGCAAGAGTGTCGAGCGCTGTCGTACCACCCAGAGCAATAAGCCAGGCTGTCGCCATGGCGAACATGTAGCTGAAGGCAGCGGTGGCGAGTGCCTCCGGGCTCAGTCTGCCAACAATAAGAACGCTGCTGGTTTGCAGGCTGTTCTGCAATGTGTACGCCAGGATAACCGGGACAGCGGCTTTGGCCAGCAAGAGGATTTCGGCCAGCCAGGGCCGGACTGCGCGGGGTTCTTTCGACTTGACCGCCGGGGGCTTCGGTAGCAACGCCGTAGTCTCGGTCCGGGACGACATAGCAGGCGGGCCCAGTGTGTCGGCCGAGGACGTCTCCGACATTGTGGTTCTTACTCGGATCGCGACCGCTTTCTATCAAGCTCGATGTCACTCCCGGAAGCGGTGGTTGTGGAAAATCTACTCGACTGTCGAAACCGTTTTCCGGATGTCGATAGGAGAGACTGCAAGCGCGAGTCAAGGGACGAAGCAGATGAGACAATTCGAGGCTAGCTGTGCACCCAAGCACCAACGTGTTTGCTGGCGAATCTCCAAAGACTTAAGGGAGGGAGCGAAGGTTCAGACGATCAGATGTCCAAAAATAAAACGAAAAGGACAGCGGGAAACGGCTCAGCATTGTATACGGCATTTTTCAAAACTCCATCTTGCGACCCCTCCCCATCCCATGCTGGTCTCGAAAGTTCAGACACAAGATAGCTGACAAGAGCTATTTGCCACGCGCAATTGGGCCAAGTTTGCAACTCCATGACGGACAATTGACTTTGCTCACCTCTCGCGAGGCATGCCCGGTTCTCATCGCGCGGGGAGAACCCCTCAATCGACGGGCAAAGATTGGACAGCGATTAGTCTGCATTTCGGCCGACATGAATTTCTTTCCAGGCTTGCGAGGGTCTACGTGGGCGGGAAGGACGTTAGACAGCTGACCGTTGACTCTGAGTGGCTGCATCAATTATCGCACGGCAGCTGGCCCATCCGAACTGACGCAATGGATGAGGTCGGATTTCTCGAAGGAGCAAGCGGCTTACATCGTGCGCAGTTGCTGCGACTCTGCCCTACTTATTGTCTGGAAATGCAGCGGCCACCTTGATGAGGTACCAAGAGATTCGGTGGCCCAATCTGCCGGAAATGCAAATCGTGCATACACCGCATTCTTCAGCGCGCTAAGCCAAGAAGAGGAATCGGAGCTCAACCAATGCAGATTCTCTTATCTTGCATCTTATCCGTGGACCAAGAACAGCGACGGCTTACCTGAGGAGCAATGGCTTTGGCAGTCTGGCACCGGCACCGGCACTGGCAGCTACCGGTAAGGTGGGCAGAGACTTTGGTGAACTAGTAGCGGGAAACGGCCGACATCGGTATCGGGTCCAGCTTTGCCGGCCGAGTGGGGAGACTCTGGGGAGCAGAAGTAAAAAAAGGGCTGAGGGGAATGGAAGAGAGGGGGTGTTGTCTTATCGGCCAGTCGCATTGCTTCCAATCTGCGAGTACGAGATATCATCGCTTCACGCCAGCACCGACTGGTTCCCTAGGTACTTTGCTCTGCTGGAGGACTTGTCGAGGTCAGAGCGCGTAAGTACCCATTGGTGCCATCTCACTTTACGCCCATCTCAAGATCTTCGCCGCAGCAAAAGACCGGCGGCCGACCTTATTACCGACGGGACTGTGGGCATGAGAGGAGAAAGGGGGAAAACAAGTCTTCAACTTGCATTGGTGCAATACGAGAGTGGACATGGAACGAATGGAGCAGCTCCAGAAGACACTCTAGAAGAACCTTGGTCCAAAAGAGGGAACAATCGAGACCATCTTCAGAGTATCAAAGCGCAATGGTTAACCGCCGGGCGAGTTCGACGGACTCGTACAGAGGCACGAGAGCACGAGAGCACGAGGGTCCAAGGTCAAGGATTGATGGGCGCCACCATCTTGGACTAACATTGACGTTTTCGCACAGAGTATCAACAAAGATCAAGCTTTAGACACGGAAACTTCTCGAAAACAGCCAGAATAGTCATAGCTACTTGAACAGAAGCTATCCAGCATAGCTGTAACGACGGTTGCGGCCAATGGACGGCACGCGCACGACTAACAGGACTCCATGCTATGTGCCTTTCATGAGTCGAACTGGCCGGGAACAACGGCTTAATCTTATACGACACGAGGCGACTTGAGTTGACTTCAACTTTAGTTTTGAGCCAACCTGGTTTGATATCGTCACTACTGCACTGATTGAGTCGAGCGAACGGCGAATGCGGCAACGGGTTCAGATCCAGCGATGGACAGACAGTACGGATACTTTGTACGGGGTACCTTCGAATGCCTTACTTGGTGCAAAGTTGAGTCTTTTCACAGAACGCATAACGGCGTCATACAGATCTCATGGTCACGGGTGAGAACCAACGCATTCTGCAAGGCAAAAGTTAAAGTCTAAATAGACGAGCCCCGTCCCCTGCCCGGTCAGCGCCCGCGAAGCCCGTCATGTCAGCCCGCCGCCCACTGAGCGACATTGAGAGGGTGCCATTCCCTCATCGCATCTTGGATGGCAATCACACAAGGGAGATTCCCTGCTACCGCGGTGGCCGCAAGGTACAGATCAAAAGTTCAGCACACCATAGAAAAACGGA